CACACACACACACACACACACTATTATACTATTGTTGACCCTAAAAACTACCAAGTCTTCGTGGCGCGCAGGCCGAGTAATCTATGAACTAACTACGTCCTTCGGTTGTGTGCGGGGCGTGCCAACTCGTCGGCCAAGCTCGGTCGAGGAGTAAAATTTGTTGATGTTGCGTTGGGTGCGCTACTGACTTCTGAATCTCGCAACTGTGGCCGAGGAAGGAACACTCTCGGCCTTCGGGTTCTAGAGCCTGAAGACAAGGCTGCTAGTTCTGCGAAGTTCAATATCAAATTCGGATTTCAATGTGCCGACTGTAATAATTTGTAACACCTCACCTCGCCGAGAAGGCTAATGAGATGACCTCGACCAATAAGGATTCAGAAATCCTTCTCGACCGAGACTTGGATAGATAACCAGTAACCCTCGACGCAATACTATCTATGCCGACTGAAGATGCTGCGAGACCGGCTGGTTCTACGATGACAGTGCTATCTATGCTGACTAAAGATATCACCGGTTGCCTTCATAGTGCTGTTTATCCAAACTGAAGATGTGTTGGCGAAAAAGAAAATTAAAAAAAAATCTCAAGATTGTTGAGAGGGTTTGCACAGGGCAGTTTTGTGTATTGAATTGAAGGTCCTCTCAAATGTTGCACGATGTCTTGTATTTATAGGGTTGGATATCTGCTTGGCACAACCTGATAATATTGTAGAGTCCAGCTGCAACTCAAACTTACAGAGCAAAAATTGATCCGTGTCAGAGGCTTATCCTTCAGATTGCTATATGTGGCTTTAAACCTATCTAGGCTCCTAGTCTTATCACGTCATAATCAAAACTCCCATCAATACCTTGCTTTATCTCATTAAGACTCTCAATGCAACTAAAGCCTTCTTTTTCCATGACGGATGTCCAGGTGCAACCATACATGCAAATTAAATTATAATTCAATTGCAATATCAGCTAATCACTTGAGATACCATCTTCCATCAAATACCACTTTGTATCAGGAGTCCTAATGATGCATGAATCACGTGGCCAAAGCAATATCACAAAAGAAACATATTCTCCAGTATCCTATTTTGCATGCCTACCCAATGTGCTTCGAGATAACTGTATAGATAATTTTAATTTATCATCTAAGAGATAAATATATGATTAAAAAATCATAATGTTATCCTTTAAATAATAATTAAAAAATTATCTTACTAAATCCAACAGTTTAGAATTCGCCCATTCAACGATCTCGGCCGATTGTGTAATTTTGGGTCTAAACAACTATACAACAATTATATTATTTATTATTCAGGTCGAATTCGGGTACGAATACAAATCAAGGACCCCATAACTATGTCCAAAACCATAACCGAATAATATGAACAATTTGTTTCTTATCCAAAATATACCCAAACTTTACCCAAGTCTGTTCCATCGGACGGTTATCTACAATTATTGAATTTAATGGTTAGAACTGTTATCCCTACATGGGACTTGAACCTATAACTTTAAGGGCGTGTTTGTTTGCCCTCCTTAACCCTCATTGGATTGGACTAACATCTAGTCTAATTCTATGTTTGTTAGCAGCAAGGATTAGCATAGTGGGACTAGGAGGGACTCGCGTTCACTAAAGCCTTCACTAAAGGGTCTTAGTGAACCCTCCAAAAACAGCCGGACTACTAAGACCAGCTTTGTTTGCCCCTCTAATCCTTTGTGAGCTTTGTCGATCTTGCCCCTTCTTCTTTCAGACCTATGGATCTCGTCCTTTGCAAATCAACAACAGTAGCAATAGCAAATGGATGACAAAGCCATCAAATCGATCTTGCCTTTCTGTGGAGGCGATGCTGAGGATTGATGGGTTGTTTCAGAGGAATCAATCAACGCCGGCGACTCAGGCTTCTCTCTTTCTGTAGTCCAGCCTCTATTCCTCTCACAGGTAATGACTCAAGGTACTCACTTCCTCCTCTTCCTCCTCTTCTTTTCTTGATTCAAAACAATTTCAAAGTTCCAAATTGCGGGTTGAGAATCTGCAGCAATTTGCAGGCTGAGAAAATTGAATTATTCGCAGTCTCGTTATTGTGAAGTTTTAATATTTCAAAGTTTCAATTTGCTGTAGATTTAGTGGAGATTTCTCTCCTAATTATTGGATACTAAATCTATTGGATATTAAATTGAATTATTGTTCCTTTTTGTCTGCAGCTTCTCGAAGTAGCAGAGAAAAAAAATGGAGTTTTTACTTTGGAATTATCAGTTTGGTATTTGAAGTCTGGTCAGTCTGAAGAAAAAAAATGGTGCAAGAATCTTTCAGTGGGAGTAGTCTGTGTGTTTTTTTGTTATTCATGGTGTTTGCTCCATTAATTGGGTATTTTGTGTTTAGAGATTTTGGATTAAATAGTTGGTTAAACTAGCAAGTTTATGTAAAAGCAAAGTAATTGATTTTTCATTTACCCTCACTTTGTTGATTATGTTGACTTAAAAGCAGCAGCTTCAGAAGCAAAAAATAAAAATAAAATTATGTTTTTTGTCTTTTGTTAATTATTCTGCTTTTTAATCTGACACTGCACCAAACGCTTAATTAAATTAGTCCAAGTTAGTCTATTCTAAGTCAGTTTAGCTTAGTCCTTGAAACTAATCCAGTGCAACAAACGCACCCTAATAGTAATAATAGTGGTTATCCTAAAAATTAGAAGGAAAAAAAAAACTAAAAATGTCATAATATTATCTTGTCATTTCTTTACATGTGCTCTACTATATGCTAGTGTATGTCACTCATCTTACCACCTCGTAAAAAAGTTGCCCTTGAAGTATTTTTAATTCTGGTGTTCTCGCGCCCAAAAACGTAACCATATTTTTTACCTTAGTCAAAACCAATAGTACAAGGTACATACAAATGTACTAAATATCAAATAATTTACCCACGAAGATAACTTATCACGGACGAATATTTTGCAGTAGTCAAGTAAAGTTCACTACGATTATAACTACGGATGGAGTACGGAGATTAAAGGGAAGTATGTTTACCCCACCATCTTCAAAAGAATGGGAAATGGGAATGGTTGGTGGCCCATCTGTTTCCAATGGGTCGGGTTTTTCTCGTTTGAACGACTTGTCGTTGTGATGGTCTAACAAGATACTAGTTATTGCTGCTTAAACTTGTAAAACAAAACTAGCCTAGTCACACGACACCAATTTAGTGGGGTCATCGGGCCCCAAATAATGTCGTTTTAAGATCCAAAAAGTAATCCAAGTTGTAGTAAACTATTAGCACCACGCGATCATTATGCATACATAAGCTGGGAGCGAGGGAGGGACCATCCTTTGGGAAAGGGATCCTCTCATGATCCCTTCCACCTAATCTAACAAGTCTGGAGATTCGAACTATTGAAATTTAATCTAATGACTAAAGTTATTATAATTTTTAAAGTGAGTCTCTGTTTGTAGTCGTTTGATCAAATTTCAATGACTCAGATCCCCGAACTTGATGAATTAGGAGGAAGGGATCCGGAGAGGATCCCTTTCCCATCCTTTTTACGTCAAGTTCATCCATGTAATTGATTTTGTATTGCTTATGTGATATGTTTGTGTTGCTTATGCGATTTATGTAGCTTCGTTGTCGATGACTTTATGTCAGGGTACCGATGTTAGGACTATCGCGTCTATCGTCTTTGTGACAATTTTACACGAGACTCCTGTTTGTGTTGGTCTATTGTGGTAGCCGTATAGGGTTTAAAATCTTTGCATCTTATGCAAACTATCTACAAATCGAGAAATTGATCACTGAAAAAATTGTACCCATCTGGCAACTCTTGTATTTGATTGTTTTTAATAATGAAACACTCTTATCGCTTCTATGAAAATAAAAAATAAAAAACTTCATCCACGTAATCAAATGGAGGGAGAGAAGCTAGCTAGTTAGGGATAGTAACTTGCGTACAACACATTTACCATCATGTGGCATTCTAAACTCAAGATTAATAATGTTATGTGTAAGTTTTTATCAGTATTATAATACATTATTGGATCAAACATTATGGTAACAATAAACTCGTTTTACCTAAGTTATCTGGCTACCATTCTATCAACTATCAAGCTGCTTAAAATGGAGTCCAAATAAGGACACATTTTGGAGGGATGACTCAAACACAAAAAAATTTAGTCAGAAGTAAATGTTCTTAACTACTTAACTTTACGAAGACTGAAAGAGTTTCTTGTTAGAAAAAAAAAAAAAAAGGAACATTATCCAGATTGAACGTGGTTTCTACTTGCACGCACAGCTATATAAGCTATAGTAGTACAGCAAATCCATTGATCGAAAAATTACTGTTGTATGTCACTTCAAATTGTTTTTAAGAGTAAGACTTTCCCTTTTAATTGGGATAGAGAGAGATATATTACTCATATCTTACCTTATCTGTTAGGTAATTCTAGTGTAATTAGATTGGATACAACCCCTAAACGCTTCTAATCTTGTAAGTTGGAACCCAACAAGTTCACAAAAAAAGTTTTACGTATATACTATCATATTTTGGCCAAATGAATTTGAACTTTGGGTGTATTATTCATTCTAAAATTGACTAAATTGACAATTGTTTAGGTGTTCAAGTGCTCGCATTTTCATTTTAACTTTACTAATGAACCATCATTTTTTTTTTGTTCATTTTAGATGATCATACACTTTTAGATTTGGTTGGATTTTTTGGTAGAGTAACCTTTCATCAAAATGTTTTTGATCGCGTAAATGCATTACAGAGCCTTAAGAAGGACATCCATCCTTTAACGTAAAAAAAATTCATAAATACGACATATTGAATCGAAGATTTTATTTTTTATTTTTTATTTTTGAAAAAAACGATATTATCTATGCTAAGAGAGAGGAAGTGAGTTTAGCCTTACAATATGTCAGAAATAATACAGTTCAAATTCGTTGAGAATCGAACATAAAACCTCTTACTTACTAATGAAGAGAAATATCAATAAACCGTAGTATTAAGTGATATTGAATCGAAGACTTTAGAAAATGATTTTCACCACTTTGCATTACACAGAGAACGAAAACTTCACATATAAGCAACAATCATAGGAAACTCCAAAGCTCTCATTACACATAGCCAACCATATAATAATAAATTCAACAGAAAACAAAAGAAAAGAAGATACTCCGACCATCTTCAAAGCGCAGACAAAAGGTCGGTCCTTTTTTTTTCTTTTTCTTCTCCTTTCTTCCGACACCACCATCATCATCAGAGATCATATATATTTACAGTAGCTACTACTAGTGCCCGGAGCTTTACAAAACATCCATATAATCTTTCTCTTAATTTGTAATTATCCATAACCCGGCTTAATTAATTAACCATCTTAATCCACAGCGATTCCCGCTTAATCAGCCACAGCTCTGGCCCCCTCCTCCCCCACTTGTAATCCATGGATGCCCTGTACCCAAACAGCCCCAAATCAGTTTTCCCATCTTCCATTTTCCACTAAACAATCCAAACGGATGATTATCTGAAATTAATCAAACAAAAATGGACAGCTTAGACAACTTACTGAGGACTTGTTCAGCAGAGAACCTTCTAGAAACGTCCTTACACAGCATGCACCGCAACAAATCCTTAAGGGCGGCCGACAAGGAGTTAAAAACCCTTGCCGGAAATCTCAAATTCGCTCTTAGCACCGCATCGAAGATCTCCGCCGCTGTTTCGCCGTAAAACGGCGGGAACCCGGCCAGCATTATGTACAAAACGACGCCGCAGCTCCAGACGTCGACTTTCTCCCCGTACTCCCTTCCCGCCACCACCTCCGGCGCCACGTAGTACGGCGTTCCGACAACACCGCCCATCTTCTCCCCCTCGCCGAAATTCTCGGCCGATCCGAAATCGGCGAGCCGGAGCCGTTCCTGGCCGTCGAAGAGGATGTTGTCCGGCTTGATGTCACGGTGAGCGACGCCGAGGCTGTGGCAGTGCGCGACAGCGTGCAAGAGCTGAGTCATGACCGAGGAGGCCTCGGACTCGGAGAAGACCCGGAGAGTGACTCGACGGTAGAGATCGGGCGAGTCGCAGAGGTCGAGGACCATGTGGAGGTGGTCGTCGTCCTCGTAGAGGTCGTGGAGGTTGACAACGTTCGGGTGCGAACCCAGGAGCTTCAGAATCTTGGGCTCCGTCAAGAGGCATTGGGCGTCGAGCGAGTCGCCCGAGTCGGCGATTCGCTTGTCGATAGATTTGACGGCGAAAGCGTCGCCGTTTCTGATCGCTTTGAAAACGACGCCGAACCGTCCGCGGCCGAGCTCCTCGCACAGCTGGTAGTCCCGCTTCAGTGCCTCGGTCATTAGTAAATAGTAACGGGTTTGATTTGCGGAGTCAAAGGGGAAGATTTTGTCGGGTTGGGTGGGATTTTAATAGGCGAAAATATACCGAAATTTACCAGGGAATATTCGCGGATAAATGGAATCCGCCTGTTCGTTTGCGCCACGTGTATCGTACAGAATCTAACGGCTGCAGCAGATTCGAGGTGAATTACACGCCAGGAGGTTCTATTGAATTACAGAAATGCCCTTATCACCAGAACGTCATTTCCGTACCGGTGCCGTCCTTTCTCGTAAGCTGATATTCTTTTGTTATTTATTAATTGTTACCCTCATAAAGTAACGAATTAGATTTTAACCACCTATAAAAGAAGGTAGTTACAGATTCCTACAATCCAAGGGCGTATCTAGACATTTTGATGCTCATTATTCATACAAAAACGTAACACTAATTTTATTGCTAAGAAAAGTTTAGACATTAATTGTATAAGAGGTACATGCGGATTTTTTTACTTGGAATTAATAGCTGGTGTTGTGGTAGCGATATGGAGTTGCACACATGCATGCGATAGTTATTTATCTATTGATATATTGTGAGATTCACTTGCATTAATAGCTAATAGTCATTTATGTAAATTCGACCGACGATTCTTATTATTAATCTGTTAACGAAAAAAGGATAATCAAAGCTTTCAATTTTTGCACAACTATATTTTGAATTGCAACATGAACTTTTACCTAAGTTGCAATTGAAATTTTATTACCTATGGGATAATGTGTACAACTCATGTTTCATTTTCTTTTTACACGAAATTTAACTAAGTTAATGGTATATGGTAAATTGCAACTAATTAGTAACTCGTGTTACACACTGCTTTAAATTATTTTATTCAGCAGGCAAATTGAAACTTGTAAAGTTCAGGTGGAAATTTGAATTTTTTTTTAATAAATGAGGTTAATATTTTTGGGTTGGTGAAGTATATAATTCTTTTACTTCAAAACAAGTAAAATATTAATGAGTGTTGATATTTTGTTAAAATTAGAGAAGGCGGTGAGATTCTCAACTATCAGTAGACGGCGGTGAGATTCTCAACTATCAGTAGACGGCGGTGAGATTCTCAACTATCAGGTTTGCTGGTGTGGTTGTTTGTTTCTATATGCTTTTCAAAGAAGTACGAGTTGCAGCAGCGATCGTGGGGAAGTGGTTCAGAAGGTTTTTCAGATTAGAGAAGTTTTCAATGGAGGACATGGTGTCTGACTTATCGGCACGATTAGCCCTCACGGAGGAGGAGCAACAGATTGTGTTAGTCGATAAAAAGGATGGTCTACTATTGAAGACGACTAAGGTTTTCTTGGTAGGGAAGGTACTAACACGGAAGCCGCTAAATATCGAGAGATTCAAGAAGCAGATACTGTTTCTTTGGAGGCCTAAGGCTAGGGTTACAATTGTGGAACTTGCTCAGAATTTGTTCTCGTTTGGTTTTGATTCTGCTAGAGATAGAAGTGTGATCCACAGAGGGGGTCCATGGCTATTTAACGGTTCGTTACTAGTTTTTGTCAACCTTGTAGATGATAAGAACTATGACAGAGAAATAAGAGAGAGCTATGACAGAGAAAGAAGAGAGAGAAGTAAAACTGTATTAACTGTATTTCTTGATCATTAAGCAACACTGTTCATGAGTATTTATATAACAAACACATCAGACTAAGAACTAACAACTATTCTTAATCCTTTGACACTTGTCATCATCTAACCTATTGACTTAATATCTCTAACATCCTCCCGCAATCTCATGCTTAGATAAACTGAGCATGAGATTGTTACAATGGATACGAAACAGAGTGGAACTTAAACCCTTTGTCAGAATGTCTGCAAACTGCTCCTAAGATGAAACAAACTGCACAGAAAGCTGATGCTTGGCAACCCGTTCTCTGACAAAGTGGACATCGATCTCAATATGTTTGGTACGCTGATGCTGAATAGGATTGAATGACAACGCTATAGCAGAAAGATTATCACAAAATAAAGTAGGAGGAGACACCAATGGAATATGCAAAAAAACCAGAAGCTGTTTAATCCAATCGAGCTCAGCAGTAGTGGAGGACAGAGCCCGATACTCAGCTTCAGTAGAAGATCTAGAAACGGTCTGTTGTTTCTTGGAAGACCAAGAAATAGGATTATTACCTAAAAAGACCACCAAACCAGTGGTGGATCGGCGGTCATTAGGGTCACCAGCCCAATCCGCATCACTAAAAGCTTTCAAGCTGAGATCACCATGAGTATAAGTAATGCCAAATTGCATGGTACCCTTCAAATACCGCAGGATTCGCTTGACAGCAGTGAAATGAGCATTCATTGGTGTCTGCATAAACTGACACACTTGATGAACCGAGAAGGCTATGTCAGGCCGAGTGAAAGTAAGGTACTGTAAAGCACCAACAACACTTCTATATAACATGGGATTATTGTAAGGATCACCATCATCCTTGAGCAACCGAGTGTAAGGAAGACAGGGAGTATCACAAGCCTTAGAATCAAGCATCTCAGTTTTGGTCAATAAGTCTTGAACATACTTCTGTTGAGAAAGAAATAAACCATTGGCAGTTTTGGTAATCTGAATTCCAAGAAAATAATGCAGAGGACCTAAGTCCTTGATATCAAATTCAGTAGTTAAGGCTGAAATCACTTGTGAGATGCCAAGGGAAGTACTGCCAGTTACTATTATGTCATCGACATAAAGTAAAAGAACTACAATATCAGAACCAAGAACTTGCACAAAGAGAGATGAATCGGAATATGTATTCTGGAACCCCAATTTGGGAAGAAAGGCAGTGAACTTCTCATTCCAAGCCCTGGGGGCTTGTTTCAAACCATAAAGGGATTTGTGAAGCCGACAGACCAAATGAGGATGTAACGGGTCCTCAAAGCCAGGTGGCTGAGCCATATAAACCTCTCCTGCAAAATGCCATGTAAAAAAGCATTTTTCACATCCAGTTGCCGTAAAGGCCAATTAAAATGAGCAGCTAATGCCAAAACCAATCGGACTGTTGTAGGCTTAACAATCGAACTAAATGTCTCAGTATAATCAACTCCAGGTTCCTGACTAAAGCCCTTGGCCACCAATCTGGCTTTATGCCGTGCAACAGAACCATCAGCATGGGTTTTTATCTTAAACACCCATTTACAACCCACCAAGTTCTTGTGAACAGGGAGATCCACCAAACTCCAAGTACCCTGTGTATGCAATGCTTCAATTTCTTCCTTCATAGCATTGAACCAAAGAGGACACTTAAGAGCAGATTTATATGTAGCTGGTTCCATGAGTGATAAATCAACTGAAGAGGAAGCAGATAATGCAGACAAAAATGCTTTCTTCTTACTAATGCCACTCTTACTCCTGGTTTGCATGGGATGAAGATTGAGGGGTGGAATGTCGAGCACCACAGGAAGAACCTCAGGACAATGATCAAGCACCACAGGAGGCTGTGAAGGAACATGGACTGTATCAGTAATGGACTGAGAGGAAGTAGTTGTGGTAGGGACTGGAGAAGATGTAGGTTGGGTTTGAAAAGGTGGAGGTTGGATTTGAGATGAGACAGGGGAATGAGATGAACTCTCGGCAAGCACAGGACCTGTGGAGTGTGTAGTAGATAAGGAAGAGGACACTATTATATTATTGGGAGTCACAAAAGGAACAGGACAAGTGATAGGGTCAAGAGGAGGTAGAAGGGATGAAACTGGTGATTTTGAAAGGGCTAATAAATCTTTATAGGGAAATTCTTGTTCAAAGAAAACTACATGCCGAGAAACATATACTTTCTTGTGAGACACATCATAACAAATATACCCTTTATAATGTGAGGCATATCCCAGAAACACACATTTAATGGTTTTAGGTTGTAACTTAGTGGTAGTATATGGCTTAAGGAGGGGATAACAAGTACAACCAAATATTTTGAGATGGGATATAACAGGCTCAACACCAAATAAACGCTGAAATGGAGAGGTATTGGATAGAACAGGTGATGGCATTCTATTAATAAGATAAATGGCTGTTTGACATGCAAAAGACCAAAACTGAGAAGGTAACCGTGCTGTTTGAAGTAAAGTGATGGTGGTTTCAATAATGTGCCTATGTTTTCGTTCAGCTAAACCATTCTGCTCAGGGGTATAAGGACAAGAGATATGATGTGAGATCCCTTTGTGCAAAAGAAAGGTTTGAAGTTTGTGAGAAATATACTCACCCCCCATCACTTTGTAGAACTTTAATTGTGGTTGAAAACTGATTGAGAACAAAAGAATAAAAGGTAATAAAAGTGGCACAAAGATCAAATTTATTCACGAGAGGAAACAACCAACAAAATCTGGTACATTCATCAACGAATATAACATAGTATTTGAAGCCATCAACTGACAAACAAGGTGCAGGACCCCAAAGATCACTATGCACCACCCCAAAGGGTTTTACAGACTTATTAACATGGACTGGAAAAGGAAGTTTACAAAACTTTCCTTCTAAACAACTTTGACACAAAACAGGGGAAGAATCCCTAGTACAGGATAAGTTGGCTTTATTCAACATTAAGGTAACAATGGAATTAGACGGGTGACCTAATCTGTGATGCCAAATGGAAGAATTAACCAGCTGTCCAAGAAGTGCTTTAGCTTGGTGAATAGGTTTGGGAACTCCAAGAGTGGAAGTAGCAAGAGAGGAAATGGGGTAGAGACCATTACTGCACAGCCCTTTGAACAAGATCCTCCCTGTGGCCTTGTCCTTAATCCAGAAAGCAAATGCATAAAAAATGAGCCAACAATTATTGTCAAGGCAAATTTTGTGCACAGAGAGCAAATTCTGAGTTAATTGAGGAACATATAACACAGAGTTTAATTTAAGAGGCTGAACATAATTCATCTTAAGTGTAGTGTTGCCAACATGGGATACACGCAAACCTTCACCATTGGCTGTTTGAATGACTTCATTAGAGGGATATGGAGATGCTAGAGCAAGGTTACTCAAATCTGCAGTCATATGATTTGTTGCGCCAGAATCTGTAAGCCATA